CATGCTCAGGCAACTATCCTTATCCAGAAACCTTATTCCACAGAATATCAGGATGCTTGTAGCGAAAACCAACTTTGTTTTACGGTATTGAAGTACCGTACATCCTGCGACGCCATAAGCATGCGAAGACTAAAAGTTGCCTTCAACTCAATTACGCGATATGTTTTTAATTTAAACCGCAGCACATAACATGTTACTCAAATAAAATTTTTTAACTAAGCTTTGAGTCATAGATTAAGTTAAAAACCCTGTTATTTCTGACTAAAAAGAGCCGCAGTACTTAATAGTCGTCTACTAGATCAAACAACATTGTCTGCAAAAGATTAAAATTGGCGATGACGGAAACACACTTTTTCATACATGCTGCTCGCTATTGGAATAACGTCCCAAGCAATATTAAATGTATAAGAAATGAAACGCGCTTTAAAAACTAACTTATAAACTATTTAAAGGGCACAAACTAATTCTTATTCTTCTTTTAATTTTAATTTATTATTTTTATACCCTTGCAGAGGGTATTATAATTTCAGTCAGAAGTTTGCAACGCAGTGAAGGAGACATCTCCGACCCTATAAAGTATATATATTCTTGATCAGCATCACTAGGCGAGTCGATCTAGCCATGTCCGTCTGTCCGTCCGTCCGTCTGTCCATATGTCCGTCTGTCCGTCCGTCTGTCCGTCCGTTTCTACGCAAACTAGTCTCTCAGTTTTGAAGCTATCTGCATGAAACTTTCCCAAAAGTTGTCTTTCTATTGCAGGTAGTATATAAGTCGGAACGAGCCGGATCGGACGACTATAGCATATAGCTCCCATAGGAACAATCGGAAAAATAAAGAAAAATTGCTGTTTTTTAATTTTTCTTTTAGTTCTTCGTAAATCAAAATTTTAATGTTTTCAAAAATGTTTAATTCTTGCAATAGCTGCAAGGGTATATGAACTTCGGATTGCCGAAGTTTGCTTTCTTTCTTGTTAATGTTAATCTCATTTTGTTTTAAATTTAATTCATTTCGTTATGTTACTCATGTTACCAAAACCTTTTTAATGTATTAATCTGTAAATGTTAAAATGAGTACTGTTATTGTAACGTAATGTAATGTAATTGTACTTCTAGTATTTAAGTTTTATTGTACGAACCCCAAAGTATTTAAGTTTTAATGTAAAAATCACAAAGTGACCGATAAATCTGAAATGACTTAGTCTTACATCGTCGGGATACCAAAACAAATAAATTTAAAAAAATAAATTAATTAAATTAAATAAAAATTGGTTTAAAGAAATATGCGCGCGATTTTTGTTTAAAATTAATTAATTTTGCCTGCATATACATGTTGCACACTGAAACAATCATTCCGATAATATTTCGATAACATGCACGAACGCGATATTATATCAATGAACGTTGGTACTCCCTGTCCAGGTGATGTTGCCAGATCGGCATGTCATTTTAAAGTGACAGATGCAAACAAAAATAACAGTTCTTACCGTTATTTACCAAGAAATCGATCTTGTCGCAAACTTTCACCTATTTATTCGTAGTCGGGAACTACGAAACACAATAATGTAATTTATTGCGCAACAAATAGAAATAATAAATAAGTACCTTAGTGGATTTGACACTGGGATCAAAAACCAAAATGATAAATACAAAATAATAAACACAAAAACGCAAAAGTAAAAGTAAAAGAACGCGTATAGACGCAAAAGTGAAAGAGTTTGAGAAAAAAACTTTGTTAAGCACTAATGGGCTTCTTGACATTGTTTTCCTCATTCATTGCTCAATTAATTTTTTAACTATACGATTTTACGTAAGTGTGAGCAAGACAAACGTGTGACGTTTCTAATGAGCAATGAAAAAAGAAAATTGACAGAACACGATACCCGATAGTAAAATACTAGACGGAATTAGGTAAAAAACAAACCGTTCGGTAGAACGACCAACGGGCCGATATATCAATGAGCAAAGTTTGATTTAAAAAGTACAATTTTGCTCATTCATTAGCGACAAAACGGAATAAGAAAGCGAGGCTTAAATGTATACAAAATATTTATTACCATTTAAAGGTAACAACTGAAAACCATTAAACGTCTAAATTAGCAGGATAATCACAATGTAATAAACAAAAGAATAAAGTTTGAATTTGACGTTAAAAAGGCAGTGTGACCGTGAACTTATTACCAAAAAAAATCTCAAGCAGTCTCTGAGCTTTAATGAATCCGTCAATTAATGGGGCGAACAATGTTATGTCATAAACAAAGATGGTTGGCCTGTTGACTTTGATTACGTTTTGACGAGCCACAGCTGTACAGATCATCTGAAATTGGAAGGTGGAAGGTGGATATGCTCTGTAGCTCGTCAAAACATAAACAAAGATGGTTGACCTGTTGACTTTGATTACGTTTTGACGAGCCTCAGCTGTTCAGATCAGCTGATATCGGAAGGTGGATGTGCTCTTTGGAAATCGGAGTTTCACATTTGTTAAAAATTCCAACCATTTCCAACTGATGGACTTTGTGGAAAGAGGCAATAGACAATTTATTAAAATTGCACTGACACAAATATTACTATTGTTACACATATTTTTAACTCTGCCATTACATCTTCTACCTTTCCTGAACTGTGCAAAATTTAAAAAATATCACTATACCCAAAGGAGTGAAAGAATATAGGCCTATAGCGTTTCTTCCCTATCTCTCAAAAGCTTTGGAACAAGTATTGAAATTTCAGGCAAAACAATTCATCCAACAAAACAATCTAATGTTCAATTTTTATTCTAGATTTCGTCCCTTCAAAAGCTGCACAGCTGTTACAGTAAATATCCCTGAGGATATCACAAAAGAAGTCGTCAACAGTCAAGTACACTGCTAACAGTTCTTGATTTTTGCAAAGCGTTCGATACAGTTAACCACGCAATTCTCTGCAGTAAATTGACGAACTTTTTTTGTTTTTCTGACCACTCTATTAATTTTTTATCGTCCTATCTAAGCAATCGCCATCAATGTGTTTTTTCAGCATCTAGTTCGTTTTCATTTTGATAGTCTACGCGGAGTGTACACCAAGGATCTGTTTTGGGGCCAATCTTGTCTTCAATGTATGTAAATGATCTTCCGACTATTACGTCCCTTTGTTAAGTTTATTTGTATGCTGATGATGTGCCACTATATGTTAGTAATCCTCTTTGTTGTACTAATGAATGTGTTCAATGGGAAAGTGCAAATAGTCTAGCCTTAGAGCCCAAAAAGTCGAAATGTATGGTGATTTACAAGAAGAAAATCAAAACAGAAAATTTACAACCTGTTCAAATTGATTATACAACAGTACCTTATGTCGACAACGCAATTACCCAGGGGTTCACATTCAACAATACCTTAACCTGGAACGACCACATTAATAGAGTAGTAGCAAAAACAAACGGACTTTTAAGTCAACTCGACTTTAGCCAGCAATGTCTTCCAATTAAAATAAGATTGTTGGTTGCCAAGACTTATTCAGATATCCATCTCTACAGCATGGCATATAAGTTTTTGAAAGTTTTGATGCTGTCAGCTTTAAAAAGATGAATATAGTATTCAATAATATCGCACGATATATAATTAAGATGAGACCCCTTGACAATATTTTTGAACACGCTAACAAATATTGGGTTTTAAGTATGTAATCAATCGCATAACTTTGACAACCCTCTCCAAAATTATCCGCACAAAGGATTTTTTGAGTTAAGCTTTAGTGCATCTCAAAGAACTAATAATCTATTTGCAAGCCGGACCAAGTTGTCCAGTAATGTGAATCACTTTTTCGTAAACTCTGCTTAAAACTCTACTTCGGCTCTTCATAAAATCAATAAATAGCGCCCAAAATATAAATATTGCCTAACCGCACACCTAATTACAAAATCTACATAACATAAATTAGCATTAATGTTATTTAATAACTTTTACTTGTAGTGCTAGGATTTTATGCATAAAGAAATAATAAAAACAACAGGAAAGAATGCTATGGTCGAGTTCCATGACAAATTTCAATATATATTTTCCCCTACAGAACAATCGGAGTTTAGGCCAAGAGCGCGCAACACTGCGCTGCGTGGGAAAAACTAGAATCTGCATGCCAAGTCCAAAATCCCTAGCTTTTAGAGGTGGAGAACTATCGATAGTGAGCGCAATCGATAGTTGACGATATTTTATTTTAAACCATCGATAGTGTCGATAGTGCCATCGATAGTGGCTCGATAGTGTAGCCCAACAAAAAAATTTTTTTTGAGCAAATATAAAAATATTATGCTTTATTTTAACTAAGTTACGATTTAAAAAAAAAAGAATGAAACGAATACAATAAAATATGCTTTATTTCAGCCAAGAGTTGCGATTTAAAAACAAAAGAATGTTAACATTTTTTTCTTTGAGTCGGGTTCGCCTCTCCGATATTATTTGGCCCGCCTTGCTGAATGTTCTTTCAGACTCCACGACGTAGCCGGAATGCAAAGATATTTGGCGAAAAGGCTCCCAATGGCAGGGAAATCAGTTTGATTCACCTGGAAAAAAGTAATATACTTAATTATATGCAATTTATAGCTCGGCACTTGTAAGAAGCGCACTATCGATGGCTCCATCGATAGTGGATGGGCCACTATCGAAGGTGTCTGCTGCCATCGATGGTGGCTCGATAGTCTAAACCATCGATAGTGGCGATAGTGCCATCGATAGTTCTCCACCTCTACTAGCTTTTGTAGTTTCCGAGATCTCGACGTTCATACAGACGGACATGGCTAGATCGACTCGGCTGTTGATCCTGATCAAGAGTGTATATACTTATATGGTCGGAAACGCTTCCTCCTACCTGTTACATACATTTAAACAATTACAATCTACCCTTTTACTCTACGAGTAACGGGTATAATAAAAACTATCGAAAATCGACGTATTAAAACGTATTAGAAGCAAAAAACGCCAGAGTAGTATGCACTCCTAAATTTAAATAAAAAGAATTGTATCACATGTTACGGAACTGCATCTTTCCCGGAGGGCAGCGCCGGCTAGCCACGGAGTCCCAGGGCGGAGTACCCCCTATGCCCTGCAGTCCGAACAATCGATTCCGACTCATCGGACGTCTCACGTCGATTTACCATCTCTAGCACAAATCAAAACAAAACAAAATTATGTTTACATTAAGCAACTAAGACAATTCGACGAAATTGGTGGCTTCGATGTCCTTGCCACGACGCACCCACCCAACCTTGGGTGCCCCAAGAGAGATGTGGGAGGCACACCCCATCTCCGGCAGACCGGAGTCTATTCCTGGTGGATTAGGATTGGCTCATCTCCCCGCCCAAGGTAACTCACACAACCATCTCGGTAGCTTGTTTACATTTAATTCTTGGTGAGATTAACAAGTAAATACATTCATTATTGATTCCTACTGATAATCTATTCTTTTCGTTAGAAACTTTAAGGCCGATCTCAGACCGTCGCCCAGATGAGAAGCGGTCAAAGCGGAAACAACCGAAAGGGAAATTTTTAGACGCTCAAAGTTCCAAGTGTCAGGCAAAGTCGCCGCACGGCACTAAATTTGGAGGCGTTTGCCAGCCGGGTCGCCTAATCTTGAGGAGCTCCAAGGGAAAAGAAGGGACGTGCTAATAAGGTAAGTACGCTAAACAAATCCCACAAGTCATTAAATTTCGCGACCCAATTTAGATGTAGTTGGACGCGGGCTAGGGTTCGGGCTTGAGCCTCTAAATTTAGATTAGATTTCACAGTAAGTACTTTACAATCTTGACTATATGATATCACAAAACAATAACTAAAACTAATTTATTGCAGAGTTCAACGTCGGATGTGTTGAAACTGCAGCAGAAAAAAAAACGCTGACGGCGAAAAACCAGCGCGAGTCCGCACGGAGCCAGTTGGTCCGGAGGATAGCGCAGCGTAGCCGGAGGCAGTGCGTCGGTGGACTTGGAGATGACCACGTGGCCAGCGCGGGCATTCGTTCCCGGAACGGACTCACCGAGGGAATCTCCGTATCTGGCCGTCTTGGCGGCAGTCGCTGTAGCTGCTGGCGCTTGAGGCTGCTGCTGCTGCTACTGATCGCTGCCAATGCGGCCAATGCTGCTGCTGCTGCTGATGCTGCTGCGGCCAATGCTGCTGAGGCCAATTCTGCGACGGCTGGTGGATGACGACCAGGTTAGGTCCGCCTGGTAAGTTTTCACTGCCCAAATCTTTAAATTTCCGGGGCCCTTTAGTTAGGGTCCCCGGCGGCTTCAATATAAAAAAACACTGTAATTTACAAGTTCCGGACTAATAAATAAACACTCACTTTGAGTTATTTAAACACTAATCACGAACTTAAATTTTGGGTTTTTTTCTGACCGTTCTCCTACTACTTCTTGCAGCAACTAAAGCAAAACCCTGACCTACACCAAAGTCGCTCGCCATGTTCCCTCCCGCTCTCTCAAGATGGGTCAGCGAACGTATTCAAGGCCATCTAACCCAGTTAACGAGCGAACCGGGCTAAATTTAAATAGCTAGATCCTCTCCCGCTATCAATAGTCGGTATCACGACCAAATCTTATCGATAGCGGAACCTGCTGACGTATCGGTTCGTTTCAGTATTTTCCCGACGGCTTCAACTGAAAATGCAACACCACCCTGGATTCCGAGAGACGCTAACACAGAGTTTTAGGCTAGCGCAGGAATACTTGGGAGCATTTGGATTTGGACTATTCGGATTCCGCCGGCCTCGATGCCAAGATGCAGTTCCAACGGTGTCCAACGTAGGGCCCACGCTTTACGGGAAGTAGACACATGCCGATTCTGAGCTCGTGTACTTTGTTATTCCTCTTTCCAGATCACAACCTAATGTCCTTGGCATGGTACACTCCGATCGGTCGTCCTTGAAGATCTTCAAGCTCGTACGCATTATTGCCGACTGTCCTGACCACCCGTGCTTTTAGGAACTTCCGAGCAAACTTTGCATTGAAGGCCTTTTTGAAATCGCTGGGGACAAAGTTGCGGCGATACACTTCCTGACCTGGCTTCGCAAGGAAAGTACGAGCCCTTTTGTCCTACCGCAGGCGACTCCGATCGTATGCCTCTTCGAGGTTCTTCTGCAACTTGTCATGGATCACTTGGAGTTTATCAGCTGTTCTCATCCCAGACATTTCGTGATCACACAGCGACTTCAACTTCCTTGCCAACTTGTAGCTGGCTCCGTTCAGGAACATGTGTCGTCCGAATACGGTGAAGAACGGAGCTTCTCCAGTTGCTGAATGGACCGCGTTGCGGAGGGCCACCTCAATCTCCGGAAGATACGCGTCCCATTCTCGATGGTCTTCTTCTAAGTAACTTCGGATCGCCGCCAACACGCTTTGGTTTACCCTTTCCGCTGCGTTGCTTTGCGGAGAGTGGACTGGCGTTTTGATGTGCGTGATGCCAAAGCTCTCCATCGCCTCCTCGAAGATCTTGGACGTAAACTGGCGGCCGTTGTCCGAATGCACAATTTCTGGAACCCCAAACTTGTAGAACACCTCGTGAATGAGGAACTCCACTACATTGGAGGCCGATGCCTCTTGCATGGCTTTCAGAAATGTGTACTTAGAGAAGTGATCCACCACAATGAAGATGTAGGCCTGTCCCTTCTTCGACCTCGGATACTTCCCCAGGAAATCGATGTACAGCTTCTGGAATGGCTGCTCAGTCTGGACTCTCTCACCGATACCAACTTGCATCCGGAAATTCGGGGATTTCGTCTCCTTGCACACTTCACACCTGCGTATGAACTCCCGGACTTGCAGTGCCATGCCAGGCCAGTAAAACTGCCGCCGTAGGTTTTCCAGAGTTTTTCCCATTCCGCCATGAGCTGCCGTTGGATCCGAATGTGCACGCTCAATTATGCTGTGGGTCAGACTCTGGGGAATCCACAACTTCCATTCGAAGCCTTCCACCTCGTCATCCAGATTTGCCGAAAAGACTCTCTTGAAGATGAGACCATCCACTATCTTCAAGTCTGGTAGGTTGGCCAAGTTTTTTCCCACCTCTTGTAACAACTGCGTGTACTCTTCTCCAGCAAACTCAGTGGTCTCGAATCCGAGCAACTCTGACGGGTCCACCGTTAGCTCTTCAACACAACGCGAAAGGGTATCTGCCACAACGTTCTCGCTTCCTTTCCTGTGTTCGATGTTGAAGTCATATCCCTGGAGTTGCAATGACCACCGAGCCAGCCGACCCGAAAGATCTTTCATGGACATGAGCCACTTCAAGCTGGCATGATCGGTGATGCACGTGAACGGCATTCCTTCCACATACGGCCGGAACTTTCGAATGGCCAGCAGGGCTGCGAGGCATTCCTTTTCAGTGACGGTGTAATGGACTTGGTGACGATTCATCTTGGCCGAGAAGAACGCTATTGGTTGTTCCTGGCCGTCTTCATCCCGCTGGAACAACACTGCACCGACTCCGATCTGGGATGCATCGCACTGGATGAAAAAGTGCCGCTTGAAGTCCGCATGTACCAGCACTGGCGCAGTAGTTAGGGCCATCTTCAGGGACTCTACTGCCAGCTGTGCTTCTGGACTCAAGGAAAACTTCTTATTTCCCGTCTTCTTCAAGGATTCCGTGAGCGGGGCAGCCAAAGTTGCGAAGTTCTTTATGAACCGACGGTACCAACCAGCGGTCCCAAGAAAGGCTCACACTTCCTTCATGGTCCTTGGCTCAGGCATCCGCCTAATAGCTGCTACACGCCCTGGATCCATCCGCAGACGTCCTCCACCCACTATGAAGCCGAGGTAGGTCAAAGACTTGAAGCAAAACTTCGACTTGCTCAGCCCAATGGTTAACCCTGCTTCCTTCAGGCATTCAACGACTCGGCGAAGATACTTCAAGTGCGTTCTTATGTCGGGCGCTAGTATTAGCAGATCATCCAAGTAGACGAACACATTTGAGCGGATTTCAGCAGGAATTACTCGGTCCATGAGTCTCACCAGCCTCTGTGATGCGTTGCAGAGTCCGAAAGGCATCACGCGGAACTGGTAAAGAGGCCGACCAGGAACCGTAACGGCTGTGTATTCCTTGCTGCTCGTGTCCAACTCAATCTGCCAAAAAGCGAACTTCAAATCCACGCTGGAAATGTAGTATGTTTGCTCAATTCTGGACAGGATGCCGTCTATGCTGGGCAACGGGTAAGCATCTTTGATGGTCACATCATTAAGCTTACGTGCGTCTAAGCAGAACCGGTGTTTTCCAGATCTTGACACTACGGTGGTGCGGTTACTCCAGGGGCTTTTGCTCTCCTCGATGACTCCGAGCGCTAGCATCTTGTCGACCTCGTCCTCGACCACCTTCTGCTTCACGGGAGACATCGGATAGGGTCGATCCTTGAACACTTTGGCTCCGTCCATCAGCTCAATAGTGTGTTTCTCCAGACTGGTGGTACCTAAGCCATCCCTCTCGAAAGTCAAGAACTGCTGCTTGATCTCCTCCAGCTCTTGTTCCTCGGCCTTGGAAAGCGTCCAGGACTCGGGATCGGGTTTCTCCTCATCGTCATCCTCGACTTCCGCGTAGTGTTCCATCTCCCTGGCGTGTAATTCTTCGGCCTTCTTCACGCCTTCCGAATTTATGTGGCCTATAATCGCTGGGGCCAGTCCGAATGCTTGCCAAAAATCAACTCCAAAATAAGCTGGCTGCTCCAGGTAAGGACACAAGTAGAAGAGAATGTGCTCTGTCCGTCCTCCGTATTCCACCGGTAACTTGACCCGTCCTATAATTGACCGATCCTCTCCAGAGGCCGTACGGACTGCGGATAAGTACTTCTGGACGGGCACATCCAAGGCCTCGACCAGCTCTCTGCCACCTTTTCCAAGCAGACTCACACTCGCTCCAGTGTCCAACAACCCCGTCAGTTGCTTGGTCAGAACTCGGACTGCGGCGAACGGTCTGGGATCTCGCGATAAACTGCGCCTCACGGCGGCCACTGCTTCGCGTCGGCAGTTCCGACGTTTGCGAAATCGCTCCCTGGCCTTTTGCACCTTACGAGACACCATACGCATCCCGCCCAACTGGTGCTCTGAGAAGATCCTGTTCCTGGTCTCTAGATACCGTCGCATCCTCTCCGCATAAGGTAAGTATCGTAATGCAAACTTATTACTATTTTTAGAAGGTAAACATTTATCTAACCCTACCAGCTCTTCTTCTCTGCGGAACTCCTGTTTGGACGCATCCTCTCCGCCCTCGGATCGCCCAGCCGACCGTTTTCCGCACAATCCGGACATTTGGGAGACACGGTGTCGGGCTTCCCACATCGGTAGCAGAACACTCTGCGTTCTGTTGCTGCGCAGTCACGGAACCCGTGATCCACGGCTCCGCAATTCCAGCAGCCGGCTCGGAACGGATTTTTAGGCTTCGCCCGCACTTCATCCACCTCTTGCCACGGAGGATCCTCACCAGGATCTGGGCCAATCGCCTCGCTAACCTTGGCCTTTTCCGCCAGAGGATACCGCATCGGCTGCGTGTACGTGGTCCGTCCACGTCGTCCAAAACTGCGCTCCACCTCGCAGCACTCTTCCCGCAGTTCATCCACCGTGAGCACGTCCATCGCGTAGACAAACCTTGCGATGCTCTCCCTCAATCCCTTTTTAATAATCTTCACCAGCTGCCGCTCTGACAGTGGCCTTTTCAGTCGAGCCGCCAACTGCTGCATCGCATGGATGTAATCGCCAACTCCTTCTCCGGACTGCTGCTCCCTCTGCAGAAGTTGGTGCATCCGATCGTGCTCCGTCTGATGGCATCGGAACCTATCCATCAGCGAGGCTCGAAGCTGGGATCACCTGTCCACCCTGCAGTGACGCACGTGCACCCAGTACCACTCCCGAGCCCGCCCAGTGAGCAGCAGGTGGAAGTTTCGGAGCACCTCTTGCCACGGACATTGGCACTGCCGCTGCAGGAACTCCAACCGGAAGAGAAAATCTTCCACCGAGTTTCGCTCATCCTCCCCGTCGAAGGATACGCCCCACCGCTCAATTCGCCATTGCTGGTTGGCGGCTGCCGGCCCCACATTGGCATACAGACGCGGCTCCTCCCGGAACTCTGAGGCCCTGCGGTCCTCAATGCACCAGCTGCGGGCCGGGCCATCGTCTCGGTGCGACCTGAAATGATCCGGAGGATACCCGGGACTGCTACTTTCCAACTCCTGGAAATCCAGCGGCCGCCTCGTCGGTTTGGGTGGCACCCTCGGCGGAGGTAGCCTGGAACCGTCCCTGCCGGTGACCTGTGTGTTCTTCGGCACCGCACCTTGCGGGGCTTGACCAGGGATTCCCGCGTTGATCCTTGAATCCGGACGCCTTTGCTCATCCGGCATGCTCTCCAGGGGAAGCTGAGGCCGCTGAGCAGCAGGCCTTAACACCTCGTTCATCAGCTTCATCATCTCCAGGAAGCCACTTCGGATCTCGTCCCTCAGTGCCTGATTGATCCCGCCTTCTTGGGCCTTCCAATGGGTCTCCGCCGCCTGTGCCAAAGCCACATTAACGGCCGACCTTGCCGCGGAATCCACAAAGGGATCGTCGAGTCTTGCGTCCTTATCGTCCAGCTGCAATAACTCATCCGCTGCGGAACCAATTCCCTCCAGGATCTGCTGCTGCCTTAGGTCCTGCTGCAGCTCTGTGTCCTGTGGTCCTTTTTGCTCTTGTTGCAGTCCCTGGCGCAAACGGGCAAGCGGAGTCCTGGGCAACCCTTCCGATATGCGCGGCAAGCCAGCCTCGGTAGCGCCCTCCACATCCGTGGACCACATCTTTTCGTCGTCCTCGCCTGGAAAACCTTTCGACCGAAGCAGGTGATCATGCTTGCTGCCTTGTCGCTTTGACATCTTGAATTTTGATAACCCCTAACACGACTTCTGAAACCCCGAATTCAACGTGGCCACCAAAAGCCCAAATTATGTATAAATAAATAAATTATACTGAATGCTAGTGAATAATAATAAACAATAAATAAACACCACTAAATAATATGCACCTAAATAATACGAATACTTATATTACCAGGCCAATAAATAATAATAATAAATAAATAGAAACAATAAACCATGAATAGATAAGAAATAATTAAGAAAATATATTAAAGACCCCCAAATACCTAAGGCTAAACAAATTCACACCAAACATTAGCTCTTATCAAAAAAACAAGTCCCTCGACTAAATTTCTTTCCCTATTTTTATTTTTTCTTTTCCCAGCCTCAATAAGGGGAGATGGAGCCGATCCCCAGCCGGTAGACTCCGCGCCAGTCGTCTTGCGTCTACAATTTCGTCCGAATTCTCACTAAACAAACCGCTCGTCAACTGGACTAACTTTCAGCTGTGCTGAAAGTCGCCAGTTAAGGACTTCGGCTGTTTGCAGGATCGCATCGGATTTCCTTTTGGACTTTGCGTTTTTCATTCAAGTCGCGGTGGCCGAGCAGCGCGTGACGAAGTCACGGGTCACGACCACACATTTAAGTTTTAAACCGATATGATGTGAAAACGCCAATACCCAGAAAACCCAAGGATCTGCACAAAAAAAAACAACTACACTGTAACCCCAAAACAAGACATTCATTAAAATTACGTTAACAAAAAAAATATGTCCCTAATACCTATATCACAGTTTAATCACCGTTTTTGGTTTAACCTTTCGTGCTTATTGCACGGACGACCTGGGATGCGAATCCTTCGATTTTCTTCGAAGAGGATGTCACCGCCAAATCACAGCTAATCCCTGTGAACTGTGCCTCGGGAGCAATTGTCCTACTTCTAGTGGACACGCCTCCCTTTCTTCCTACAAAATTTAAACAACTTTTCTCCACCAGTCCGCATCCCGGTGCAATTGCATGTGTGTCATGCAAGCCACCGTTCGTGGGCTGGCTGGAGATAATAAATATGCGAGACGCCGTCGACTCGGCTATCACATATTTTATTTGTTAAATTGGGCGCCATATTGTTACGGAACTGCATCTTTCCCGGAGGGCAGCGCCGGCTAGCCACGGAGTCCCAGGGCGGAGTACCCCCTATGCCCTGCAGTCCGAACAATCGATTCCGACTCATCGGACGTCTCACGTCGATTTACCATCTCTAGCACAAATCAAAACAAAACTATGTTTACATTAAGCAACTAAGACAATTCGACGAAATTGGTGGCTTCGATGTCCTTGCCACGACGCACCCACCCAACCTTGGGTGCCCCAAGAGAGATGTGGGAGGCACACCCCGTCTCCGGCAGACCGGAGTCTATTCCTGGTGGATTAGGATCGGCTCATCTCCCCGCCCAAGGTAACTCACACAACCATCTCGGTAGCTTGTTTACATTTAATTCTTGGTGAGATTAACAAGTAAATACATTCATTATTGATTCCTACTGATAATCTATTCTTTTCGTTAGAAACTTTAAGGCCGATCTCAGACCGTCGCCCAGATGAGAAGCGGTCAAAGCGGAAACAACCGAAAGGGAAATTTTTAGACGCTCAAAGTTCCAAGTGTCAGGCAAAGTCGCCGCACGGCACTAAATTTGGAGGCGTTTGCCAGCCGGGTCGCCTAATCCTGAGGAGCTCCAAGGGAAAAGAAGGGACGTGCTAATAAGGTAAGTACGTTAAACAAATCCCACAAGTCATTAAATTTCGCGACCCAATTTAGATGTAGTTGGACGCGGGCTAGGGTTCGGGCTTGAGCCTCTAAATTTAGATTAGATTTCACAGTAAGTACTTTACAATCTTGACTATATGATATCACAAAACAATAACTAAAACTAATTTATTGCAGAGTTCAACGTCGGATGTGTTGAAACTGCAGCAGAAAAAAAAACGCTGACGGCGAAAAACCAGCGCGAGTCCGCACGGAGCCAGTTGGTCCGAAGGATAGCGCAGCGTAGCCGGAGGCAGTGCGTCGGTGGACTTGGAGATGACCACGTGGCCAGCGCGGGCATTCGTTCCCGGAACGGACTCACCGAGAGAATCTCCGTATCTGGCCGTCTTGGCGGCAGTCGCTGTAGCTGCTGGCGCTTGAGGCTGCTGCTGCTGCTACTGATCGCTGCTGCTGCGGCCAATGCTGCTGCTGCTGATGCTGCTGCGGCCAATGCTGCTGAGGCCAATGCTGCGACGGCTGGTGGATGACGACCAGGTTAGGTCCGCCTGGTAAGTTTTCACTGCCCAAATCTTTAAATTTCCGGGGCCCTTTAGTTAGGGTCCCCGGCGGCTTCAATATAAAAAAACACTGTAATTTACAAGTTCCGGACTAATAAATAAACACTCACTTTGAGTTATTCAAACACTAATCACGAACTTAAATTTTGGGTTTTTTTCAACTAAAGCAAAACCCTGACCTACACCAAAGTCGCTCGCCATGTTCCCTCCCGCTCTCTCAAGATGGGTCAGCGAACGTATTCAAGGCCATCTAACCCAGTTAACGAGCGAACCGGGCTAAATTTAAATAGCTAGATCCTCTCCCGCTATCAATAGTCGGTGTCACCACCAAATCTTATCGATAGCGGAACCTGCTGACGTATCGGTTCGTTTCAGTATTTTCCCGACGGCTTCAACTGAAAATGCAACACACACAGGAAAAAAATGCAAAGAAGTATCCTGTAAAGTAGACCAAATGATCACTAACAGATCGATGGATTTAGATATATTCATTTCAAGGCTAAAACAAGCGGCCAGTAATCACAAAGTTGACAAATTAAAAATACTTTCTTACGAAAACATGTCTATTTCGAGAACGTTTGAAAAATAAAAAGATATGTAAATATGTAAAAGCACTAACCATACAACATGTTGTATGGTTAGTGGTAAAAGCCAGTGGAACACAAACTCCTGCAACAGCCTTTGATAAACCAATGATATAATATATAATATTTATAATATATGATATTATATGTGATGTAACAAAGTATTTAGTTAGAGTTCCAGCATTATATAAAAGCGCAAAAACAATACCAAGGGCAATTTTAGATAAATGTATGTACACTTACACTCGGATTAAAGAAAACCATTTTAGCAGACATGTGGACAGAATACATGAGCTCTGTATTAAAATCATAACAAATTGTAACATTGATAAACATAAACCAAACCAATATCAAACTCTAGGCTCAATAGGCTTAATCTGAACAGCTGTAGCTCATGAAAAATAAACAAAGATGGTTGACCTGTTGACTTTGTTTACGTTTTGACGAACCACAGCTGTTCAGAGCCCTTAAAAATTTACTTGTTTTAAAAAATCAAAACAACAAGCAACAAAAGCGGATAAAGGAAGCAAGCTTCGCCATGACGAAAAAATAAACCCTTGCAATTGTTATACAAATTAACACAAGAACACATCGATTTAATTGATATTTGTTCAAAAACAGTGAATTCCGCTAAATAAATCAATCGTTTCTAGGAAAGCTTAAAAAAGCTTATTAAACCGTAATTCTAAAATAATAATAAATTATTACTATATTAATAAAAATATTATAATTTAATTTAAAAACAGCAATCTTATCACTTTTGTTAGTTTTGTCCGGTTGTTCTTTTGGGAGCTAGATTATATAGCCGTCCCATATTAATAAATTAAAAACCTTAAATCAAAAATTTAAATCCCCGAGGGTGCCGACTGGTAATGACACTACATTGACATTACAGATCAGGGGTCAGAAACTGTGTGCTTTGATTTTTTCATATATGTATGGACGGCTCCGGGTCATGGCATTGGAGTACCTGTAACAGTATTAAAAAAAAAACAAGAAAGGAAGCGAACTTCGGCAAGCCGAAGTATATATACCCTTGTAGCCATTGCAAAAATACAAAAATCTTTTTTAAAACATCTAAATTTCAATTTATATCGGCTTGCCGAAGTTTATATACCCTTGTAGCCATTGCAAAAATACATCTTTTTTAAAACATCTAAATTTCGAATTATATGAGAACCCGTTGAAACCCATTGAAGCTGTGATGATTTTCCCCCCATTATTCGATGGTTCCTATGGCAGCTAGATGATGCTGATCAAGAATATATATATATATATATATACCTTATAGGGTCGGAAATGTCTCCTTCACTGCGTTGCAAACTTCTAACTGAAATTATAAAACGCTCTGCAAGGGTATAAAAACTTGTGATATCAAGTTATTGATATGACGAAGTTATTAAGCATTCGACTAAATAGATACATTATTTTTACCTTTGTAGATAAAAAGCTTAAAATTTTTGTTGGAACGGTTTTTTTTGTTACGGAATAATCCTGTTAATAATATTTGGGTACTTTGACTTTATTTTAAAAAAAGCTTCTAATATCAAACAAAATTATAGTAAATTTTAAAATCACCACTTTGGTTAGGGTCCTTAAAAAAATAAATTAAAGATTATGATTTTCTGTATTTTAACTCCGATTTATATACATTTTTGGCCAAAAAGCAGTTTCAGCATAGTTACACTATTTCAGGTTTGCGAAAAAACGAGGTCTGTGAGTAAAAAATCCTATTTAGTAAATATAACACTATAGTTGGTTTGTGCCTTAGTTACAGCATACATTTGGTTGTCTTTTAGCTTAAATTGATCACAGTATAACGTCAATTCTTTTGTTCAGAAAACAATCTACTATAGACAAATTTACATTAACTTGAATAATTTTGCACGAACGTTTGAATAACACAAAAGAATTAGCTAAAATTAATGCATTCAGTAGATTCATGGCTGCGATCCTGAACCGAATTCATTGAACTCTGATATTGACGACTTGTGATTTATGTATGGAGACTGCATTTTAGCCAGACGCTCTCCGACTTCACTTTCCGTCTGAATGAGGATGGGGATCTGTTGAGGCAGTTCGCTGGTGGACCACAGATACAGATCAAGAGTCTTCTCCGTGCAGTCAGCGATGAATCGCAGAAAGGGCCGAATGTCACCCTCGTTGGCAAGCTTTAGAAAGTGATAGTACTTACTACGCTGCTGCTTTGGAATAATAACAGGTGGGTAGCCTGCTCGCATCAGCAGCGTGTTCATTAGCAGACGCGAGGTGCGTCCGTTCCCATCAATAAAAGGGTGAATGTGGACCAGCTTGTAGTGGGCGATGGCCGCATAGCTGAATATTAAACTGTGTAGTTTTATACTAGGATATAGAAAAGTGTTTTACACCTACTTGACGGGATGTAGTGATGTACTGCGCTCCGAGTTTATCCAGCTCTGAAAGCGCTGCATTAACAGCGACAGGTCCCCCGGACCGGGTGGTATATGTCCCCCAACGTACACCTGATTACGCCGAAACTCGCCACCTTCAAGGGGGTCCACATGACCCAAAACACGACGATGCAGCTCAAGGATATCCTTTATAGTGATTTCTATTCTGAACGAAATTAAAAAGAAGTATTTCAAACATGTCACTCGTGGATAGAGAATAAGGGATATATTGCGTTATACAGCGTGTCCGACCCTATATGCATATAAACATAAAAACCACTGGTCAGTTTTAAAATTAAAACAAAACCTGAGAAACATGAAAATAAGTTATTACATACTTTTGCACCAAGCTAGCATTGATGTACTTCATAGCCAAATCCATTCCCAAGATCTCGTTGTGTTCATCGATGGATTTGCCGTCTACAGCCATGCGGGTCTCTAGGATTGACCGCGTCTGGGCCAGCGTCATCGTGTTCCCCTCTATGCCTACTGAGTGGTAAATGTGCTGAAAATAGGCTTCCTTTTTAGCACGCCGCAGGGCGGGTTTAGACTCGTGAATGGCGGAGAGAGCATTTCGTTTGAAGTCCAGCGACTCCAGGCGGCGCTCATCAAGATTCTGCACCACGTCGGCAGTACGCCGTCGGTTGGCCAGCGCCTCCAAGTTGCTCGGATTAATAGTAAGTGCCTGAAAGTAGTACTGATCCGCCAGAACAATGTTGCGCTGGTTGTGCTCCAGGAACTCGCCATAGCGAAGCAGGACTTCAGGGTGTCGGGGGGCTAATGCCAAAGCGTGTTTGAACAAACGCGCCGCCTTTTCATCCTTCCCCGCCAGGTACATTTCATGAGCCAGTCGAAGGGCTCCTAGCGCCTCATTGACGTTTGTCTGCTCCGCTTCCGTGTAACTCGCCCAGATGCTGTCGGTAATGCTCTTATCATAGAACTCCTTAAAAGTGTTGACCTCCTCCACGGAGTAAAGTGCAAACTCGTGTCGCGTCTCCAGGTAGTGGGCAGTGGGAAGTTTCCAGCTCAGACTCGAGAAATTCAATGAATGAAAAACCCAGGCCGCAAGACTGCCGGCGATAAAGAAAAGTGCTAAGTGGTAGATTGAGGGTTGCCTTCGCGCCCTCCACACTGGCTGCAAAAGCTCCGAGTCCGACTCCCCAGGTGCCGTGGCTATGGTCATTGCTCTATTTAAGTATATGTTTCACACGAATTTTGAATACTATGACCGCCAGGTACATCTTCCGATGACTTAAAATACTGAAAGACTTGTTAAAAAAAATTGTTTGTTTACAATACAGCAGTCTGCTAACGCCACGCATTTGTATTTATTTTCTATACATACGAACTTTCCTCCCAAATTTCCATAACAGCTTATAGCCTATTTCCACAGAGTTCCATCCACCTTCCACATCCGTTGAATGGATGGTCCATAATGCCCTCTTTCCACACGGTCCATTCGTTGGAAACGGCTGGAATTTTCAACAAATGTGAAACTCCGATTTCTATAGAGCACATCCACCTTCCACCTTTTGATTTCAGCTGATCTGAGCATCTGTGGCTCGTCAAAACGTAAACAAAATCAAAAGGTCAACCAGGTCATGAGCCACCGCTGTTCAGATCAGCTGAAATCGGATGGTGGAAGGGGGATGTGCTCTGTGGAACTCGGAGTTTCACTTTTTTTTTTTTTAATCTGAACGGTTTTTCAGGGACAGACTGCATTGGAACAGGCAAAACATCGGCTAACTTCGCCTACAGAAAATGACCTCGATAAGACAAAAACTAGAATACAGTCAGAAATGAATTAGAAAATTTGCCCAAATCCTATACCGGCCTATACAGTCGGGTAGGCATGGTCTACTCTGCTCTTAGATTAATACAAATTGTACGGCTCAGAAAAATTTCGTTTTTATTTTATTTTTTAAATTATAGCATTTTAGTTTTTTAGTTTTAATATAACATTTTAAAAATATTTTTTATATAATTTGTAACATTTCGAATTTGTTAACTTTTTAAAAAAATTTCAATTTACCGGGTTTTTCGTTTCCATTTTAGTTAAAGCTCTTATAAGAATTTTTCATCATCAAATTGGCTTGGCATAGCTATTTGAGCATGCAAATAAGCTTATTATAAAGATTTGCAACGGGTTGAATTTTTGAACTCTGAATAACTCCCAAAACCGAATGTTTAGATAAAAGTATCACTGTGGACGGCCGTCCACGTAGTGACGATGAGCACCGGAAAGCGTGCGCAAGAAGACTACTACATACGTACATACATATGTAAGGTGAGCGAAAAAAGTCACCTTACTCTACTTGGTACGTGCTGCCAAAATTTTTTGGTCAGGTTTGGTCCACTTCTGTTTACACTATTTTAGTATTACAGTTATACTTACTCCATAAAAAGATGCACAGGTGCAAAAACAAAAAAAGGTTCCGTAATATTCCATCATAACTTCGAGCGCCTCGTGTTGCTGAAAGAATTAATTGAGCTTACATAGATATGTATGTAAATTGGCTGTTTTAAAATGATTACGATCAAAATCTAAAATTTGCATTCTCTAGTTAAGTTTAAAATACCATTTAGTTAGTAAATTTTCATATTAAGTGTTTTTATACTTATAAAATTTAAAATTGGCCGAAATTGGTGGCTTTGGTGTTATTGCCACAACGCACTCAGCTTTCCTTATAATTATGGAGGCACACCCCATCTGCGGCAAACCGGAGTCTCTTCTAAGTGGATTACGACCGGCTCATCTCCCCGCCCAAGGTAGCTTACACAAACATTTCGGCAAACATTTTTGCAATATCTGCACGCGTATATAAGCTTCGGCTTGTCGAAGCTTGCTTGCCTGCTTTCTTGTTTAAATTTAATTACGGGCAAGATTTTTTATAAAATACGTTCAGATATTATTCTTACTCATGAACTACTCTCTTCGTTGGGAACACTATAGCGATCTTAGACCGTCGACAAGATGAGAAGTGGTCAATGCCGATCATAGACCGTCGCGGTAGTAACTCGAGGGAAATATTAAGACACAAAAAAAAATGTTTGGCAAAATGGCTAATTATAAAAAAATGCGGTACCAATTCGGAAGCGTTTGCCAACCGGTCACCTAATCGTGAGGAGGAGAAAAGAAGGGACGTGCTGAAAAAGGTAAGTAATGCTAAACAAATCCTATCCTTCGTTAAATTTCGCGACCCAATTTAGGTATAGTTGGACAGGCGGTTAAGGTGCGGATTAAGGCTTCTAATTCTAGATTAGATTTCACAGTGAGTATTAAACAAAAAGGTTGACTGGATGACTTTATTAACTTATGATTTCACAATTTATTTAATGCAGTAAAAAACGCTTTGTCATGGTCGACTTACGGCGAAAACCAGCACGAGTCGGCTCAGAATAGTCCGGACGAAAGTCAGCCGTTGGCCAGTGAGTGTCTGAAACAGTGCTTCGTGGCCCCAGGGATGACAACGTGGTCAGCGCGGGTATGCGTTCCCGGAACGGACTTACCGAAGGAATCACCATATGTGGCTGTCGTAGTCGTCACTGACTGCTGCTACGTATAATTGCTGCTGATATACCTGCTGGTAGCGCTGTTGCCGCTGTTGAAGTCTGCAGCTGTTGCGGCAAAAATCTGCAGATCCTGCTGCAACTGCCTCAGACTTGGCTTGCTACTGATACTGCTGCGGTTCGCTGCTGAATGGCAGGTGCAGGTGACTTAGTTCTCTACTGGCGACGTGGTCTTTCCGACCAGGTTAGGTCTCCTAAATTTACTTGAGATAGGGTCCCCGGTGTCCTTTAATTTTTTAAAAATCACTGCTATTTATAACCTTAAGTCCAATAAACCACTACTCAGTTAAAGTAACTATTCAAAATAAGCCCGAATGAATGACTACTTTTTTTCCGACCGTTCGTCTACGACTTTTTGCAGCTACTGAAGTAAAACCCTGACCTACACCAAAGTCCTTCACGACTCTTCAATCCTGCTCTCCCAAACTGGGTCATCAAACAAGTCCAAGGCCACTTTATCGAAAACCTGGAGCGAACCGGGCCTGTGACCCAACTACTATGGATAGCCTTGCTATTATCAACTCAAACCGCAACAAAGTTGATATCTGTTCAATGAAGAGCTAGTAAAATTTTCAGCTCTCCCTAAAATGGCGATGACACTAGTTAATAATGCAAATAAAGTGATGAGAAGGTATTTTACTGTCCAAAAATTCCTTAAAGATTCTCAAAATCATGGGAAAAAAACGCGCCCGGACCGCAATGAGCAATGAGAAAATTGACAGAACCCGATACCCGATAGTAAAATACCAGAAGGAATTGGGTAAAAAAATACCATTCAATATAATACCACCGGGGCCGTTACATCAATGAGCAACATTGTATCTAAAAAGTACATTTTTGCTCATATATTGGAGTTGAAGATAAAGCGGAATGAAAAAGCAAGGCTTAAATGTATACGAAATATTTTTTATCATTTAATGGTTACTACTGAAACCCTTTAAACGTTAAATTTAACCAAAGAATTAAATTTGAATTTAACCATAAAATGACAGCAGTATCTCAAGCAGTATCCTTACAGTTGTCTTTGTCTCTGAGCTTCAATGAATCCGTCAATGAATGAGGCGAACAATGTTTTGTCATAAACGACGCATAAAGGTCCTTGCCGTTAAAGAAAACCAGAGTGCTGCCCAAATTTGACGCGAATTGGATATATCAAGGAGGCTTCCCAATGGTGGGTGCTGTATTTGGGTTCGCTGGAAAGAGTGAAATATACTTCGTAAGTCACAAAAGGAATTCAGAATACTACATTAAACTCTTGGACGAAGTTCTTATTGATTTTGGAGAACAACGTTTTAAAAACTGCTGGACTTTTTAACAGGATAATGCTCCGCGATTCATGTGTGGTCAGCAAAAAGCCCTAATCCTAACAAAACACAACACCTTTGGGCATACTCTCTATCAAAGTTTACGTGAATGGAAGCCCATTTACAATATTAAAAGGGCTTAAAGAAGCTGTTATCGAAACTAGATATATCCTTGCTTCAAAAGTTGGTAAATTCCATGCCAGGACAAAAGTCTTAAGAAATAACGAAGGTCATATTTACCACAACACAATTACGTTCAATATTTAAGGAGAAAACATAATATTTAGCAAATTTAAATATTTATTTATATTAAATATTTATTTATGTTAAATTTAAATATTTTTGAACAGTTATTTTGTTGAGTTAAATGAAAAATTAAACAGAAATAACAAATTTCATTAACTTATCTTTTTATATAGTTATATGTGTTAGTAAAGCCAATTATTTTGCTCAACGGAGTATTCGAAGTCAGCAAAGAATAGTCCGATCTTAATAAATGATATAGCAATCAAAAGGTATCGTTTTTATAACAGTTTGTGCATACTCATATTTTTAGAAAATCATTTGGTTCCGGAGAAATGTGAGCTTTTGCACCCGTCTGAGCAAAAACTTACTTTTACTATTATGATATGGTTGTATTCTGGCTTTAAATACGCGTCTAACGACACCTCAATTATCTCAATACGAATCTTCGTTAAAAAGATATTCAATAATCAAGATTTAGACAGCATTTTTTTATTGAGAACGTTTTTCCTTTTAAGAGATTTTTAAGGCGATGTTTTGGGGTCCTGAAACTGTATTAAGCAGCTCGAGCTGAAAAACTTTTATTCCACCTTTTTTTTTTTGTAAAGCGCGATAGTCGGAAAATCGACTAAAAAAAGCTAGATTTCACACGATCACAACTACCAAACGTATCGTTAAAAAGGTATTTTATTTATTTTGCATCCTAGCACTATGAGTAATTAAACTCTTAGCCACGTGGTGTGATACGGAGTTATAATATTCTAATTCTAAATTTTAATTTTAAAATAAAATTAACATAGACTTAAATTTGCGTTACAATTAAGTTAAGTTAGATAAAGCTTGTGGTAAAGTGTACGGTTAGGCTAAAATTGTATGTTTGGGCGTTTTTTATCGATTTTGTGGGGTGCGAGAGTTGGTTCCAGAGACAAGCAGAATTTACAAAAAAGTGATTTGCTGAACTGGACAAATTATAAATTTTATTTGGGTATTCAGAAACATGGTCACGGGGTCTCAGCTTAAATACATATCGTGCAATGTTATTAAATGCTACATTCATTTTTCTAATGCTACTAGCATCACAGCTACCAAAAACTTCTATGCCATGCAGTAGAGATGGAGTCAGATAGGTCTTCGCGACGAATAGTCTTAATTCAGGAGGAAGATACTGCTGGCTAACATTAAGTTGTTTTAAAAGTCCGTACGTTTTCCTTACTGCTCTGTTTATGTGGCCGTTC